AAAGAATCAATAACTGCTCACTTATTTGGAAATACAAACTTTACATCTCTTAGATCGTTAGATTAATCAGTACACAATGGTATTGTCGCATGGTAGCATGCGAGTTATGAGATGTTACTCATTCTTATTCTTATATGTCTATCCCTTATGGTTGTCAATGGAATGAACTACTCCTTGATGCAGATGGCTCCAGAGTTTCCTCTTGCACTCTTCATCGGTAGTCTTCCCCTTATTGCAATTAATTCCTTGGATTCGCTCGTAAGCAATCCTCCTCTTGTGGTGATTCGCTCGTAAGCAATCTCCCATCTCCTGTCGTCGATCGAAATCGCGATGAGGATCCTATATTAAACACTGGACTCCTATGGGAGTCCACCTCTTCCTATCCGAGCGCTAACGAAGCCGATACTGATACCGCTACTGATGTTATCCCTATTACCGGTGAAGCCTTGGCCATGCTCACTTCAGCATGGATCGATCGTCGATCGCCAGTTAACAGAGTTAACAGCAGAGGTCGCGATCGACAAGTTAACAAAATTCATCGAAAAGTGAGATCCGTCTGCATATATGCGGATCGGCTTGTGTGTCATGCATTGAGTCATGCTTCGAGAGCTATTTCCCTCTCTATTATCGGTTCGAATGCGAGTACTGGCTTATGTCTTCGAAGAAAACTCCTCACTTTTTCTTTCCAAACGAGAAAAACAATCTCGCTCGTGCTCGTGATGTTGTTGTTCATGTGGCTGTTGGTCGATCGGCAGTTGGTCTCTTACCCAGGACCGGCATTGGTCGTTTGCAACAACAACAACAACAACAACTGCAAGCCAGTTCAAACGAGAACTCGCTTGCAGTTGTCAACACCGATTCGCCGAACTCCCGTGTCATTCAAACGACCGATTCGCTAGCCGCGTTTGAACGACAACTCGACCGATGGCCGAACGAGGCATTGGTGATTGAACTGGCTTGCAGTTGGTCGTTTAAACGACGCGAAGAACAACAACAATAAAGCTCATAAATTCCATCTTCGATTACTCGATTGACTGGATATCCACCATCCTCTTGTGCGCTCCTCTTGTTGCCACAGCACTGTTGTTGATTTTCACTGCCTCTTATTCCATCAGGTATTAATGGACCTTGACGACGCTTCCTTGCTCAGCATCTCTCACTTCAACAGCACCGCCAGCATCAGCATCCTTGTTCAGTCCACAAGCTTCAGACAAGCTTTCTTTGAATCTGATCCATCAATCATCCCACCATCTGATCCTCCAATCATGACTGCAGCCACATTGACCGCAGTTCAATTCCAGGGGCTCCTCCAGCACATTGGAAACCAAAGAAAAGACAAGCTACAGAACCCCTCGGCTTTGAGGTATCAACCACTCTAGAATAAGCCTGCCAATTGTAAAGCTGTAAAGCTGAATTGTAAGCTGTATCCCGTCGCACATTCAAACCCTGTGCCACCTCTTCCCTCATAGAGCTGACTAAGGCTTCCTCCATCACCATCTTCAAAACAAACTCCCTCTGGATCAGCTGGAAAACATGCCATGAGAGCCAAAAGCCAATAGTTCAGTGTATCCACTACTTCATTTGGTAATTCAGTCCGAACTCCAATACTAAAGTAGTTCAAACCAAATTCCATTGGCTCTCCAATCATGCCAATGGGCTGTGTAGTGAAGGATCCAAAACAGACAGGTGTTAGAATACAGTATCATCAAGGATGAAACAGGAACAACAAGTTGGGCAGTGTGATACTCACCAAGCCATTGGCTGTGCACCTGCCAGTTTCACTGTAGATCCTGACCACATCACTGAGTAATGCATGTACACCAACATATATATCACATGTTCCATCTGACAGTGCCTTGTGGATTTCTGGTTCATGGACCAGGTTGATTGTAAGCTCAGGAAAAGTAAGTTTCAGTGAGTCCACATAAGCAGTGTTTGCACTTTCACAGATGGGAAGGTCGGAATGATTTGCCACCAAGTCGTCAAAGGAATGAATATTTGTGGCAGTACCCATCATCCCAAGAGTTCCCTTGCCTGGATGTTTGTAAGGCACTGTAAATCGGTTCACCTTCAGGCGTTCCGGCGTGATATAGTAGAGACCCCAATACAAATCCGTGGAATACTCAGAGAGCGGGCGATCATTGACATCGCTCTCTCCGCACTTGTATTGAGATTGAAATGGAACTCCATAGGCACTTGGATGGTCCAAAATTTCGGTCGTTGGGTTGAATCCCTCCCCTTTTGTCCAGTTGAGACGGCCTTCACGCTTGGACCCAAAGCCACTAGGAGTTGCCAATTCATATGTAAAATTGGCACGGTGCTCTTTGGATACCTCCTTCAAGACATCAATCAAATATCCCGAAAAGGAGAGCTCTCCTGTGTCCTTGTCTGTCTCAATGTCCACATATCCAAGCTGTTCAACTACTGTAATGCGAAAGTGATAGCCTGACAGAGTTGGATCCCCAAGGTTGGGGGTTTCTGGCATGGTTGCCAGTTGATTTGCCAACCCAGTCTTGGTCAACAGCAGAAAGACCACTGCAAAGAGATTTGGAAGCATCATCATTGTCGCCTCTTCTTTGGTGAAAAATGTTTCTGGGTTTGTGCTGGTTGGGTGTGAAATTGAGTTTTTGACCTGCACGGGGTGGGAGGAATGGGAAGAAGCCACAATAAATAAGTTCACATTGTGGTGCTTGTACCAGCGACTCGAGAGCGAATGCGTGGGTTCGAGGTCGAGAGGTACCAGGACCTCTGTGGAAACGTCATTCGTGGCAAATTACTTAAAAGACGATACACCAAGGCTTAGGAGACGATCGAAATGATTTAGGAGACGAAAGCAATCGTCTCCTATATTTAGGAGACGATTCATTAGGAGACATTCCATTTAGGAGACGGTCGTTTCGAAATAGGAGACGATCCGAAAGATTTAGGAGACGATACCATACAGTTTACATGATGCACTTAGGAGACGATCCGTTGAAAATAGGAGACAATCCGTTGAAAATTGGAGACGATTTAAGAGGAGACAAAAGATTTAAGAGACGATCCGTTTCGTCTCCTATTTTTAGGAGACGAAATCCATTTTAAAATAGGAGAAGATCAAAAGGATTTAGGAGACGATCGGTTGCACGACTCGAGTTTCCACAGAGGTCCAGGTACCGGTACCAGTAGCGGTTCTTGCCACGTACTGGTACTGTACGTAGCGGTGGAGAACCTATTGAGAGTTTGAAGATTATTATAAAATGGGTTTGGTTGCAGCATCAGGACTTAACAACTGATCTTTTACATTTTGGTTAATAAATCCTCCAATCGATAATCCTTCTGCTAGAGGGTACACGTACCGGCAAATATAAGCCATTTGAGCGGTTATTTCACTTTTTTAGAAGATGGTTTGGGAGTGAGAGACAGTCAACTTGAAGTCGCACTGCACTTCCAGCCACCGCCTGAGCTTCTGCCAGCGGGCCAGCTGCAGGGCCAGCGCCACTACATGTACAGGCTGAATCCAAAATATCGAGACAAACGCAAGCCCGCTCCCGGTACGACATTCGAATGCGAACCGGAACCTCTTGGAACGTTCCGCGCAAAGATTTAAGGGCCATATATAGCCTTAACCTTAATCTCAACTGACATCACTCGGATCGTTCGATCCAAGCCACTCGTACACCTCTTTCATTATTTCGATACCTCTATCTTTACTCTCTATCGACTCTATCAAGATGATGCTTCCTCCTCTTCTTTACAGCGGCTACTCCTCTTAACAAAGGCTACTACTCACCACCATGACAGGCTCCTCTTGGTTGGCTAGGCTGGAAAGCGGCAGCGGCAGCCGTTCGATCGTTCGGTCGTTCGAGATTGATCCTCCGTTCGACGGATGACTTCTTCTTTCGTAGCCTCTTCACGGAGCAACCATGACGACTCCTCTTCCACGGAGCGGTCGATCGGAGCGACCATGGCGCTACCACGGAGCGACCACAACAACAAGCGACGCCTCGACAATGGCACTGGAAACGGCAACAAGCTTCTTCCGTTCGACGGATCTTCGTTCGACGGATCGATCCGATGACTGGGTCTTCCACTGGCTCTTCCACGGAGCGAGCGAACGAACGGCGCGACGCAGGAACGACAAGAAAGCTTCCATATTGACTGGCTACTACTATGTATTATCTATTCTCCCTCTGCTCCTTCTTCATCCCAACCAAAGAAAGGAGTGTTATCTTCAGTGTCACCAGACTCTACATCCACAACTTCTCCCTCTTCAACAACAAACCTTTTGGCCAAACAGATCTCCAACTCATTTTCAATGGAGCCCACGCCGGTGTCCAAGTTGGATCTGTGGACAAGCTTCTCCTTGAGGATGTAAACCATGTCCACTTCTTCATTCCTAGATCTTTCCAAGCGCTCCTCATGGGTTGGTTGATGGCGTGCCTCTGCTTTCTTGATTCGATCGCAGGCCAAAATGTAGGCTTCAACAACGGTGTCCTCCGCAGTTGTCTTGAAGTTGCGACGAGTGACACTGGGACCAATCTGTGGCTTCTTTCTGTGGGTGCGCTTGTTGATATTCAAGCCGTGCTCTTTGATCTGATCTTCGGTGGGTTTGTAATACTCCTTGGCGTATTTGTCGAGCTGATCCTTGAAGGACATTGTGCTTCCTTCTTCCGGCACATGCATGACTTCGTTGGCAAGCGACTCATATCCAAGCATGTACTTCCGGCACTTGCGGCGGAAACGCATGGTTCTTGCCGCATCATTCATTCGGAGAGCCTCGTTGGCGACTGCAATAAAACTCTTGAAATTGATTCGACGGTCCATTGGCATGCGGCGAATGTATCTTTTCGAGAAGCCCCAAGTGTCTTCGACTCCTTCGCCGGCAATGTTTGGATGGTACTTTGGCGTGAAGACGACGGTGACCTTGCAGTTTGCGTCTGAGAGCTTTTGCGCAAGGAACTCTAGATCGGTCATTTCGCTGGCAAAGTCAGGACGATTCGCCATGAGCCGTGACAAGATCCACCGTTCATGTCCTTCCTTGATGTTGCCATCTTCATCCAAGTCGGCTTTTGCGGCATCCTTGTGGTACTTGTTGTCGGCGTAGTCCTCTTCATTGATCCATCCCGTTTCCCAGAGGACCTGACTGAGCCCCTTCGCCCGACCAACCCAACCGAGCGACTTGATGCGGAGCTGATCCTTGAAGATATCAAGTCCCGCCTCCTGCATGCGTTCCTGCAAAGCAGTCTTGGTGAGATGGCTTTGCGGCAATTCTTTACCGGCGGCTAGGTATTCTGCCTTCATTTCTTTGACGGTCTTCGGGACGCTCTTGGTGCTTTTGACGAGAGTGTTCAACGAAATGCCATCCTCTACCGCTTTCTATTTGAGTTTCTTCAAGCAGCCCTTGCCCTTATCAAGCGTCTTGGGATCTACGTCGCGGTGAGCTGCGATTTCCTTACGGAGTTGTGCGGCGCTCTTTGGCTTGACTTCATCTTCGTAAAAGATATCAAACCGCTGGGCCAACCGTTCTTCGGGAGAGAGGTACCAAGGGCCGTCGTCTGGGTTCAACTTGGTCTCGTCGGATTCCCACATGAGCGACTGTTCGTCTCCCACTTGATAAAGCGACGGACCGAGCAATCCAATGCATCCTACGCCAAGTGTGGTTTCCCGCATATGTGTCTTGCTCCCATGATCTTTAAGCATGCAGTTGACGTCCAAGCCTCCATCGATCTTCTTGGTGTGGCCGCTGCTTTGATCGAACAGGAAGACGAAATCATGTCCTGGGAATTTCACCTTGATACAGTCGACCATATCTTCGAATTGAATCTTCATTCGGTTGCCATTCCAGTAACCGTCATGTCCTTGGCCGATTTGGATACAACGCATGAATGGGGATTTGCACATTTCTTCCGCTGCCTCTTTGGTGATCGGCCGCTTCGTTGAGTCTCCCAGCTCAACATTGGCGGCATCTTCGGAGATGTATTGGGTATCTTTGCGCCGCTCATTGATTTCTTTAAGAAACTCGGATATATCTGGATCCATTCCGAAAGCATCCGAGACGAAGGCACTCACATGAAGACCTTGGCCGTCATTCTTCTTGCGGAGAATTTGCTCACCGTCAATGCTCCAAGCTTTCTTCGAAACGATGAACTGCATGAATACAGACTCGTCTTGTCCAATGATGATGACTGGACGCTGAGTGGAGTCAAAGTCACGCTTGAGTCCTCCACCAAACTTGCGCTGCTCCTCAGGTACGAATTGAAGGAGTTTTTCATGATTGGCGTCAATGTGGTATTCCCGCATCTCAACTTCTTCGTCTTCTTCTCCAATCTCGTATGTCTCGTAGTGAGTTGAATTTGCTGATAGGAATCCTTCGGCTTCCAGCTCCTCGGCGGCAGTTGTGGGGATCTGCGCCCAGCGGTAACAGCGATCTTCGAGTTCAAAGTACCGTTTGATGAATATCTTGCAGTAAGCCACGTTGTCAGGACGCTCATGACCGTCGGTATAATACGTCTTGGTGTTCTCGCGGTACTCGAATCCCAGCAGCCGCAACCAACGCCATGCGGTGGAGACAGAGATCGACTTGAGACGAATCATGGCAAGAAACTGACCCCTGTTGAGTGGCTTGATGCCTGAGAGAGCAAGCTCGTGATTACACTTCTCCATGCAGTGAGGGACTATGATGTCAATCAGGTACCGCTGAGCAAACTCGGAGGTGAGTTTTTCCAGATTCTTCTTGCAGTGACGATACAACATGATGTGAGCTTCTGGGAAAATATTGAACAACTCAACGCTTCCTTTGCCGTTTGTTCTTCGTGGAGGCATGAAGCCCTCATGTCGCATGAACTCCCGCTGGGCGTTGTACACTGCCCTCCAACGGTTGTATGCACGATTTCCACCTGTTCGGCAATCTGCGACAGCTTGTTCAACGCATCTTTCCGAAGACCACCCGTACCGGGGAATTCTGTCGAGAGCCACTTCGTATGATCGGCAGACGAAGATTGCCTTGTTCGTGATGGATTGTCTTGCACTGACCGAAAGTTCTTCGAAATCCTGGTCCGTGCCTACGAGGATAGACGCCATCTCTCTCCAATCGTCAAGGGCGGATCGAAGCTTGGCGACGCGCTCTTCCAAGCAATCTTTGACAGTTTGTTTCGGCGAAGGTTTGAAGACAAGACGAAACCTTTCGTACTCGAGCCTCGTCGGATTAAACTTCGGGGCATTTGGCTGCTGCTTGCGCGAGGCAGCGGAGGTAACCACGCTGCGGCAGAATGAAGCATCCTCAAGAAACGAGTCGTCATCTTTGGCTGCTGACGGACCAGAAATTGTTTTGGGTACGGAGTCGTCATCTTTGGGCACAGAGCCGTCATCTATGACTATGGATTCGTCATTCTGGAGCAGCGAGACGTCATCTTGGGCTGCTGGGTCGTCATTCTGGAGCAGCGAGACGTTATCTTTGTCAGGGGAGTCAGCAGCGAGAGCGTCTGTTTCTAAGTCAACATTTCCCACGATCGCTTTTGACACCTGCCACGATGGACGGCGACTTGCAGTACCAACTGATGGGCGGCGACGGCAAACCGCAGCACGGCGACTCCGGCGAACCTCAGTACCACCGTTTACGGCTGTGGGCTCAAATGGTATGGGATTTGGTTTTGGGCTACCAGGACGATGGCTGTCGGTGCGAGTACGAGGATGGTGCGCTACCGGTGTCTCTTCCTTGTTTTGCTTTTTCGCACGTGGCGGAGTCTGTGCCGTCTCTGGCTCTGGCTGTACATCTTGTGTCGACTTCCGCTTCTTACCGTCAGCATTTGGCGGTGGCGGTGGTTTCTGCTTTTGACGAGAAGATGCGGTCGGTTGCATGTACGCTGGTAGCTGTTGCGGTTGCGGTAAGTCTTTGTTCGGATCGACAACAACGGTTGTTCCCCCCAAATTCCCCGTGCTAACAGTTGTGGTGTTATTGTTAGGCGGTGCCTTTCCTTTTTGGTTATTGAGAGTTTCCCTCTGCTGCCGTCTCAAAGAGTCGAGTTTCTTATCTAAATCTCCAAGGCTGGAAGTCCTCTTCCTTGTTTGTCTCTTTCTATCCTCAAAGGATTTCATTGCCTTGAAGCCAGAGTGAGTACCAACCTCAATTTCATGGGAGTTGCAGAGTATTTGCTGCCAATTCTCATCATCTTTGATGTCTGGAAGAGCAGGTGCTTTCTTGGATCTAGAGATGAATATCAACCTTCTCCTCTTTTTCTTCACTCTGATGCCATTGAATTTGTATCCTTTGGATGTGGCATCCTGTGAGAATTGAAAAGGTTTGCTGATTTTGAATTCACCATTAATGAGCTTCTCCACAGCTCTTGACAATTCTCCTATGGCCACATCTTCTGACTGCACATCATATCTCTTACAGATGACTTCTTTGATGGCATCAAGGGTCAACCAACAGTCCTTGAAGGGAGAGACTTTGTCGTCATCGTCGGCATAAAGGAGATCGAGCACAAATCCAGCCAGGAATTCTCTGCTGAGCTCCATGGCAAAGGTTGGAGATGGCCTATCCCGCGCAAGGAGAGTGCCTGTGAGTGTGTTGGGGAGCTAGTCCTCTGACCGGATAGGCCAGAACAATGTATTGGTTAAGCTAGAGACCATTTGGCCAACACTGTTGCCATGGTGGTAAATTTCAATCTTTTCTTTGTTATTCTTCTCTGTTCTGCTGTTTGCCGAACAAGCACGATTGGCGAAATGACCACTTCCGGGTTCCCATTTCCGAAAACTGAAAAATAACTGTAAAAAACGCTCACATTTTACACCTGTCAGCGGTAAAAGAAGTCATCCTGTACTATCTTGGGCCAAGAACAACGAGTGGGTGGTATCCTTTGATGCACATCTAGCTAGCTAGCTAGGTGCGGGATTGATAGTGTTAGAATCGAGAAAAGCAGTGGGTGATTTACATTTTATTTGACTGCCTGTTGGAAGGATCACCATGGTGCAATCTACATGTACTACATTGCTCCGCTTGCGGCCATGACACTAGAGAAAACCAGAGCTCCTTCCGTTCGACAACAGCTATGGGTACCGGTACCGGTACCGGTAGCTGGCTGCAGGCCGGGAAGGCAGTGCTAGTACATGGGTTAATTCTACACTGCTCAAATACTGGTTGATCAAGAAACGTCGTGTTCCCTCCCTGTCAGTTATGGCTGGGAGCCCAAGCAATAGTACCAAAGAGGGAAAGATACGAGGAACCAGGGTACGAAATCTAATTGACAAGATGCAACTATCTAGCTAGCTACACCCATATTTTAGTAGTTTTCGTGGAGTGCACAGTAACAGCGAGGTGTTGCTTGTGGCGAAGGCTTTCGTGTTGACTGCGATTCCATTGTGACAGTGTGAGAAAACTTCAAGCTGGACTCCGCGGGAAACCTGTTCCACTAGCTAGCTAGATAGATGATTTATCATTGCGATTCACATGGATGAGGCGGCAGCGGCCAAAGACCCAACCAACCAACCAGTGGCTGACTGAAAACTAAAGAAGGAAGAGCGAGCGAGAAAGTCAAGAGCAGCCAAGTTCCGCTGCTCTGCTGGTTGTGCGGGTTCTCTTGCTCTAGCTAGCTAGCTCCTCTACTAGGTGCGGGTTCGTGCTCAGTAGTATCCAAAGCCAGGATTACATGCCGTACACTACGGTACCAGCGAGATCAGAGGCACAAATACCGGTATATGCAGAGACTATATCAGATTGACGTTATCATTTAATTCAATTTTATTAAGATTTGTAAGCAAGTTATTGTGACAGTCTAGAAAGTGGAAATGGTCATGGTGTCATCGGACATGTCTAGTGATCCCAATGCAGCATCGAGAATGTCGACAATGTTTCGTCGTTTCTCTTGGGTTGGTCTTCGAATGGCTCGAACACCTTTGGTTCGTCGTTTGGCCGCACCATGAGCGATGCAACATGCCAGACTCATGCTCTCGGGCATTAGTGCGGTTTCTTCGTCGTCCAACAACTTTCTCATGGGCTTGGTAGGAGGGAGGCTCTTTTGTTGCTGGCGGGAAGATGCCAGCTTTTGCAGTTGTTCTTGGCCGTCCTTGGAGAGTCCGCGACGTTGAGGAGGTGTCATCGTGGATTTCGACTTGTTGGTTTCGGGGACGCTGGACCACCGAGAATTGGAAGTGGGAAGATCATCGGTAGTGTCAACACTGTGAAAGCGTTTCGGTATGCGATGAGGAGCAGAGCGAGTTCGAGAAAAGGGCGCCTTGATGACGGCGCCGGGACGGTCTGTGGACTTGGCTCTGCGGGGTCTTTGCTTGGTGGACATGGCTTCGCTATTGTTCAACGACAGAGCGTTGTCGGAGATAATGCAAAAGCTCTTGGGGCGGTCTTGCATCAAGCTGGAGATGTGTCTTTGGATTCCGTCAGTCATGGTGGTATCTACTGGTAGGGGTTTTAGAAGAAGATGTGTGTGGTTGGGTTGTTTCTATGATGTTGTTTGGTTCGATTGTTGTTTTTATGAAGAAGGAAGAGAACAAGAAATTTCTTGATGAAAACCAAAACCGAAAAGTAACTGCGGTGGCATTGATGTGGTACATTGTAGCGCGGTACTAGTAGTAGTGGGAATATCGTAGAGAACCTCGTGCGGCAACCGCTGCCGTGAGCAGAGGTGAGCAGTATCGGTGATGACACTCTTCCGAGGGCTTAATGCGAACTCGAGGCCCACGATCAGAGATCTGAGGGTGATAATAGCCCATTCATGCAACCTTATCAATTTCAGCCACCTTCGAAGCAATTTTAAAATTGCTAGAGAAGAAACTGTTTAACATGTCATTAGGTCAATGCCACACAACCCTACCAAGTCTACGAGAATGAGGTGAGAAAGACAAACCGTTTTCCAGTCTTCTCTGTGTCTTTGCTGATAGTCCGAGACATCTGAAATCTGAAATGTTGACTGTAGATGATACAGTACACAATCTTGTTGAAAGGAAATAGCCTCCATGGATGAGGTTCCTCCACGACCTAGAACACTACTAGAATTAAAAGGGTACTTGAACATGTCCTTGTAAAGAAGTAAGTGATCTTTCTTTTAGACGTACAGCCCTTGCACTCGCTTCTCCCAGTTCCCACACCCTTACCAGTGAAATTTGACAACACTAGTTGATTCGTTAAATCGTCTGGACACCCCTGGTGTTAATGAACTAGATGACTTGGCTTTATTTATTTACTCTGCTGTACCGAAACTGAATGACCAACACATCCGTAAGCCGTGTGGCGGCTCGTCCGTGTGCTACGGTTGTACCGGTACAGATCGTACGCGCCTGTTTGATTTGACTCGACTCAATGATTAGAGGATTATTTTCCACTTTAGTACCATACCAGTACTGCGCTATTCTGCTGTACGAACGGTACCAGGTAGTCTAGACTATTAATAGTGTACATTTATGTACAAAACTCATTCGTCTCCCGCAAGTCGGCCCGATATGTGAATGGGAGACGGCTTTAGAGGGTAGAGGGCACTCATCAGAGCTCACGTGAATATTTTTATTTTCATTTGTTCGGCAACGGCAAGTACACGTACTAGTACTGTACTCTGTGAGCTGACACTGTGAGCATTGAGCATCCGAACATCTGAAATCTCCATCCAGCAGATGTCTTCCTCAACCATCTACAATTAATTCGTTCCCCAGCATTCGTTGGGATGTGTGAATGACCTCGACTACTGTAACTTTGCTTGCAAGGTGCCATAACGCACTCCAGAGTATTCTCACCGGTAAGAGGAACGCCAAGCAAGTTTGCTGCTCGTTTGAGAGTTGAGCTGGGTTCTTCTTGCCGCAAGGAAGCTCCCGCAGGAGGAGCTGTGGCAATTGGTTGTTTCTTTGTTGTACATGTAGCAAGCTGTCTCTTAGAATCATCATCCTCAGCCCCAAGCGCCTACACGTGTTCTGAAGGATGTGGCTATCTCCTTTTCAACCCGCCTTGGCAATACCGTACAGTAGTCTTTCCCTAGACAGGAAGCTGCTGTGGACATATCATTGAGCTCCCGCCACTTCTTTGGCTGTTCTTCGTTACAGCTGGTCGGTGGTCGCAATCCGAGAAGGCAAGGTTGATTGCTCTCGTCATCTGATTTGACTTGCTCTGAGTTACCATAATCACTGGTCCCCCGATACTTTAGCTTTGCTTCGCTGAGCAGGCAAACCCCGGGGCAACAGCCCATAGCTACAGATCAGTGTGGCGGCGTTTTCGGCTACAGCAGTAAATGGACTGCAATGTGCAGAGAGCCCTAGTCCAGGCCGCGTGCTCTTACCCAAGCGGACTTTAGCACTTAAAGACCAATGATAAAAATTTTTTTCGTAG